CACAACCCGTGGTGGTTTTGGCAAATTTGATCGGGGACGTGGTGGAGGAGGGAGAGGATTTCATGGAAGAGGAAGAGGTCATTTCTTTTTTGATTTCATTTGGTTTCGTTAAAAGTGATCATTGGATGTGCTGTAACTATTGTCCGTATTTTTATCATTGCAGTTATCAGTTTTTCTGATAACATTATTATGACGACTAATGTCATTGTTATTGTTGTTGTTATTGTTTTTCGATTGTAATTTTTTGATTGTCTATTTGAATGAATTTATTGCACTGCAAATGTAATACCACCAATCTCTTTCATGTTCGTTTTTCAAGCGTATTTATATGTACTCGTTGCAATTCAGTTATTATATTAGAAGAACAGTTAGAATCTGGTGTATCACCCAGTTTTTCAGTGGGGTTGATATGTTTTTGTATAGCAAGTGCTGTGGTTGTTTTGTATTTACTGTGCACCAAAGCGTCTTTTCGAAGCAAGCGTTTCGCATCCGTTTGAATGTTTGGTAGGAAGAAGTTTAGTGGGATGGAAGGAAGCGAGAAAAGAATGTCTTTTCCATTTCATAATAGTTTATCTTGTTGTTGTTGAGGTTTTATTCGAGATGATTCAATTATTGCCTAAAATAAAGTGCCTAAAATATATATGTTGTCTGTCGATTTTGCTTACTTTCTGAGAAATACCAATTTTCTGTAGGTACCTTAGTTGCTCAGCAGCGTTCATTTCAATACACTTACACTGCACAATAGGTCAATACTGTCCAGTACGGTTTGATTTCAGTTCGTGTTTGTATACATTTGACCTATATTGCTATTCGCGTGAATGCTGTGCAGTATGTATACATCACGATTCATTGAAACCTTCAGTGAATAGTTCTACTCTGACAATAGCAAAAGACCCAAAACATACATCTTCGAATTTCCGAACAAGGGTTCCATCATACCGTAATCGCACGTTATATGCGCAGGTGTCACTGAATTTCATGAATATTCACACTTCAGCGAGGTAATCTCTAGAAAATGTTCACGGAGATCTTCAAGTTGAAAACTCTTTCCGATTGAGCTTTTTACGCGCCTCACAATCAGCTCTTTATGAATTTGATCTGACCATTCATGCTCTGGTCCAGCATTTCCTGGTCCAATTCGGCGGGTTTTAGCTCAGTCCGACAATTCTTGCCTCTACTCGGCCCGAGCCCGGCTTCTCCAGAATTCCGGGTGGTAAGCCTGTTTTACAGCATTCATTCAGACCGGAGTAAATCCAAGTCTGAACCCAAGTCTAATTCGAGCAGATAAAGCAGGAGTACATTCGTGTGTACTGCTGATAACGCATGTTTCTACTAGTAATGCAGTTACTGAGGTGAACAGTTTATGTACGTAATTTGTATGTGGGTTGTGCTTTCTTTTTTGATCTAATAGTGAGATATTCATGTAGTTGTTAATGTTCCTTCAACTCGACAGGTCGAGCATATGCCTGAGGCTATGAGACGCCAGTGTATAGTGTTCTAATCTACTTTTTGGTGTTTGTATTCATCAGTTTTTTTTTCGTTTTAATCATTCGATATTTTTGTTCATGATGAGATCGATACCCACTTGCTATGTTCGATAAGATCGGTTCTGATTTGTGATGGAAATAATATTATAATGAATGGAATGAAAATGGGCTAATTGGTAGTTCTAGAAGTCAGTTCATTCATTAAAATCTAGAATCTAGTTCAATTTAAGTGCATAATTAGGTGCAACGTTTAAGCTCGATTTTTTGATATTGAATTTAGGTCAAGATATATTTGAAGATGAATGTTTCTTCAATGACGTTATGGTTCGCCCAAAAATTATTGATTGCTAATAAAATTGACTTGTTTTTGAAAGGATTCAAAAGAAATATGTCACAGCATTTAAGGTTGGTGTGAAATTTACATATGAAAGACAACAGTTATGATGATTAATATGTATCATAAGATTAACTTAATAACAGGTGCACTGAACTTCGAAGTTCATCCACTTTCACAATGTCGCAGTTTTCAGCACATCGTTTCGCCTGGGCTTTCACTGAATCTCAGGCTTTGTGCTCCATCGGAATTGAAGAAGAAAGTTTCTGTTTTGATAAGTAAGACATTTTGATAATGCAACATTAAAGTTTGATATGAGTACCGTGAGGTGAAGGTTTTATTCGCACGATCGAGTTCACTTGGAGTGTGAACGTGAACATGTTAACGTTCTTTGCGTTTGAACAGTCGCACTTTGAAACCTTCTAGTGGTGTGTTGATCAGAAAACTTATTTTAAAAATATTGTATAGTTTCAGGCTATTTTGTTTAAGTTGTGTTATTTTTTAAAATATGTATAACATTCATAAGTAATACCGCTCACGGTTAACTTTCAATTACAACTTGGTATGTGCTTAGTGTTGACATAATTTGGTTACGGACGGTTCTATTATTATTTACAGAAATTGTGCCAGCATTAGATGGCGGATGTTAGATCGAAGTGAATGAAGAGCAGTGCAACGATTGATTCAAGTTATGAATCAATCCGCTCACTAGCATGCTACTCAACCAAATGCTGTTTAGTGTCACATTTTAGTCGATTGAACGCAACAAATCATTTTTCATGTAAATCTTCTTGATTTACTATCTTAACTGAATTTGTACTTACAATATATGAGCTGTTGTTACTCGAGAGCAGAGAGTGTTAAATATGATGAGTTTTGGTCTGATGAGAGAGACGGAGGAGATGAAGGAAGTAAAATTATGGAATCGGAATGATGCAGTGTGATCGGATCGATGACGGTATGCTTTGAGACTGGGTTGGAGTGGCAGTGATAACGAGAAACAGGAAAATGTGTTGTGAAATGAATTGAAAAGAGCATTGACTAGACATGACAATTGTAGGAAAAGATCACGTGATTGAATAAGTAACAATGAATGGGGAGGAGACATCAGATCTATAGATATATACGGTTTAGATGAGCAACGAACGCAGATAGCTGTTATATGCGGAGATGTGTTGATGTTGAGATGAGTGGTGTGAGTCTGTGTGTATGGCATTCGTGTGATCACATCAGCTGACAGACCTAATGGTGGTGTGTGTTGGGTGTTTTAGATGGTGTTCTGGTTGTGGTGACATTTCAAGTAAGCATATGTGGTGACATTTGAAGTCTGAGGGTTTAAGGCATTTGCATGTGCTAGTTGTGTTTGTAATTTACTTTAATTAATTCGTGTTGATTCTTACGTAACTAATCGATCTTGTTGATAACAAATTTTAAACGATACGATACTGATGCTTTTGTGGTGACGATCATCGGGATTGAAAACTTTTAATCGTTTCGTTTCAACATACGCCAGTTTTTTGTTGTTTTTCATCGATGTCTGTAAGTGAGCGATGAAGGTTCTTCATGAACATTTCAACAGTTTCAGCTTTGGATTTCTGTACAAAGATCCGTTGCCGGTATTTTCAAATCTGTGATACTGTACAACTATCATCATTATTAGCTTCAAAATCCGCGCAGTTTCAGTTTTTTGTCTCATAAATTTCACAAAAACTGCCACTCATACATATATTGATTGATTGATATTCAAAAACAGATATTACCAAATAATAAATCGACCATAAATCAAACCCATTCAATGAATACTTCCTCGATCACGAACGCCTCATCCTCATCATTACTCACCAGTACATCTGCTTCATCGGCTGGTGCTGTTCGAGCACTTTCGCTCGAGCTCAAAAGTCTTCAGACAACACCTGTCGAGGGCTTCACCGTTACAGCTAGTGACGATAATATCTTCGTTTGGACTGTCGCCATCTTCGGTCCCCCTGGAACAATGTATCAGGTTTGACTGGCATTCATTGTTCAAAGTATCCATTTACTTCTATCAACTCAAGGTTTCATTGTTTCATTTGTCCTCATTTTCTGTGGCATCGTGCAGCGTAGTGCTATTCTTTTCAGGGTGGATATTTTAAAGCGATACTCAAGTTCCCGTCCAATTATCCTTACGCACCACCTTCTGTGAAATTCCTTAGTAAAGTGTGGCATCCAAACGTTTATGAGGTTTGTTGATTTGTTTATTCGTTGCTCTATGCATCGTTTTATACCAAATGCTGCCAAGATGAACCATTCGATGTGACAAGAAGACGGCATCAAGATCAGTGCTGATCTAGTGACTATATGAAGAATCGTCATTATGCTTATTGAATGTGACGGTGTAATATCTTATTGCTTTTATTGTTATTGAACATTAGTCTAGTTTATTACTTATTCAATGGTAGTGTATTGCCGTAACTGCTTCTTTGATCATTCATCGATTCGTTCACTAATGATAATTTTCGTTAAGAGTGGTGATCTATGCATTAGTATATTGCATCCTCCAGTTGACGACCCACATAGCGGTGAGTTAGCGTGTGAACGCTGGAATCCCACGCAGAACGTGAGGTACGTTCATTCATTCATTTATTTATTTTATTGTCGTTTGCTGTTAGTGTTTCTTAGTGAACCATTACTTCAAGTACAGTTCATTTTTGAAGTGTAAATCTCAAATATTGACAAACCAATTTGCTCATTTCTTATTCATTCGTTATTACGAACCGAGAATCAAATTATACGTTTATGTTCATTTGAGGACGATTTTGTTATCAGTGATATCGTTGTTGAACGAACCAAATACTTCATCACCAGCTAATGTAGATGCGTCAGTTATGTATCGCCGTTGGAAAGAGTCGAATGGCAAAGATGACGAATATGCTCGTATTGTTAGGTCGGTTGATTGGCACTTATTAATGACTACTTTCTAGACTAATGATTTGATGTGATGCACATTATCAATTGAAAAGATATTATTCCAGTTTATGGCAATTATCTTGAATTAAGGAAACAAGTGGAATTAAGTCGAGTGGATGCTGAAAAAGATGGAGTTGTGGTACCGGAAACACTAGAGGAATATTGCGTTAAAACAAATCCAAAACCTAATGATGAAGATATGGATGCGTTCGATCTAGATGAGGATTATTATGATTACGGCGACGAGACTGGTATGAAATTAAGCTATTTTCATTCCGTGTTATATTTCAGTATCAATACACACACTTTTTCATTTCTATCTCGTAACTTCATCGTCGATTAATTTTAAAATTAACTTAACATTTTAAATTGTCTTTAAATTTCAAAGATTATTGGAGAACCTATTGGTGAGAAAAGCAGAAGTTTATAACAAAAACTTCAGATTACTTTGTTGATTACTTTCATTGTTTTATAACATATTTGAAGAATGTTCTAGATTGTTCTTGGTTCTCTATGGTAACAAGTTAGGAAAACTGAACTTTTTGTTTACGTTAATGAATAAATTTGTTGAGATGATGAGGACGAGTATGAAGAAAATGCCGAAGATAGTGGTCAAGGAGAAAATTAATGGAGGATGTTTATCGATTCACTTTAAGTGAATAGGGCATTGTGGAAGGATAGTATTTGTCGATGACGATTGCATTGCAGTTAATGATCCACTGAGTGATTGATTTGATTATCTTACTTCTGTAATGTAGCATCGTTTCGTTCATCATTTTATACATTGTCTATTATCAGTTTGTCTAATTCTCCTTCACGTTACGATTAGAATGTTTAAAATATTATGATCATCCACTTGTTGAAATAAGTCCATTTTTATCTGCAATACTGATGTGAAAATGATGCATGCTGTCGAAATTTTGCAGCTACCAGTAGTTTTTATCATAAAAAATTGTCGTGGATCATTGAGTGATATTTGGTTTTTGTTTTCCACCTAAAGTTACTTCTTGATGAATGGTGAAGGAACATTTATTCAAACCTTTAAACTAACCGAGACAAATGATTTTAACGTTATGACTCAGTTCGAAAAGGATCAGTCTCAAAGAAAATGTACCCCATTTTAGGAAAATATTTCTTCCAAATCATTAATTTGGCCATCAGTACTCATTCGCAATATTTCGTTTCTTATTAAAATTCAGATAATTAGGAAATTACTTAACTTTGAAGGGAACTAAGCGGAAGTGAAATGTGTTGTGGTGAGTTTGAATCATTTTTTTGTGACTAGTTTATTGTCGGTTGACTCGTCTTTAAACATTCAACGTCGAAATTTCATGTCTCGAGTTTTTAAGCCGCACTTTTCTGTGGAATAATTGTAAATGTAGTGAAGAAAGAAGGAGAAAAGAGTGACGTTGTGTTCGGATGCTGAATTTGGACATCTTTCATCACTAAAATAGCGCTTCGTTTTATCAGGTAGTATTCATCATGATGTTTAAATTTTGCATACTTCATTCCTGCTGTGGCTTGTTGATTTAGTTTGAGTTATGCGTAGGTGATATCATTCTCCTTCCTCACTGCCATATTCCTTTACCATTTGATTATACCAATCAGAGAGTTTATGGTTTGATGTATTCAGTGTTCTCATGTTCAATCTAAATAATCATCTGTTTTGTTTTATGATATGATATTATTACCAGATATTTTTGTGTATCTTTCATTTACTTATTATTATTATTGTTATTATTACTATTATTATTTCTACAATCCGTAAATATTCATTTTCGGGATTCACCTGTGAATGTCTTCCTCTCTTCTCATTCTTCTTTCCCTCATTTTTATTCGAGCATTTTCGTTTAATTCATTCCTCCCGTCTCTCTTTATTGCCTTATATTGCCGTTTGCAATCACGGCTGATGTTTACGCGATTGATTGCTCGATTATATGGAAAAATGTGGATTGAACGTATTATTTAGTGGCTATTTTAATTGATGTTTGATATGTTCAAATTGATGATATTATATTATTGACCTACTTCATTTATCAGCGGATACGTTTGAGTTGTATGTTGTGATACTATTATTGCTATTGTTAGAAGGGAATCAATTTGTTTTGCTATTACGATCTTTAGTTTTTGAATTCCACTTCCAGTCGGATACGTTAAGAATGACTGCGCAAACTTTCGTACGTAATTCAACAGCAGTAATAGTGTCGTTTACTTTTTTTCAGTGTCATGAGAAAGAGACTGGTAACATTGGTGGGGTTTGAATGATGCAGTTATGTGGGTGTTTGCTGTGATGAATGATGAAATAGTTTTTTGGCATGATATCAGTTTGAGGTGATGGGAGGGTGGTGGTCTGTCTAGTCAGCAAGATATCTGGTTCTGATTTATAAAGGTAGTTACGGTTATTTTTTGTTGCAAAATGAACGCATTCGCGCATGATTTTGAAGGTGATGTTTATGTTCCTCGATTTGTAAAGAAAATGAAGAAAGAAATAAACTATTTTTTTAATCTTTAAAATCTCTTTTTGGGGTTCATTTTTCTTCTATAATCATCGTTCGTTTACGTTTATCGAATATATTTTGAATTGTTGCCGTCATGTTTTGCATTGTTTCACCATCAGAAATTCGGACGGCACTGTCACCTATTCACGACTTGAATGTTGGAGTGACATAAGCGTTCATCACTTGTAAAAGGTTATAATTGCAGTTCTAGTGTTACCAACGAAATGTATAAGTTATGTTCTCTTACAGATCCTAAGCGAGAAAATTTCAATGAGTCGGCGACAGAATCCAAGTGAATTTCTGAAGCAAATTATCGGGAAACCGGTTGTTGTTAAACTCAACTCTGGTGTAGATTACAGAGGTTTGTGTTCTGCGGTTCGTTTGATTTAGAGGGTGTTATTGGTCAGAAAGCTGGTTCTTCTGCAGTTTTGACGTGTTGAACTGACATTTTCCTAAAGTGTTGTAACGTTTAGGCGTGAGTGAAAATTTGAAGATTCAAAACAGATAAATTAGAGCAGATTTGCACGAAACTATCAAATCCATAGTTGCTTAGCAATCGCTAATTGCAGTGAATGCATGTGTAACAGTCAGCAGTAACGATGCCTTCAGTTTAGTTTTGCATATGTTTTACTGCTGCTTCAAGTAATGAGGCAAAGCTATGTGGGTGCTATTATCAAACGATGCATTATTATGTATTCCAGAAGTTAAATGGTCGTATTTCTTGTGGAAAACAAGACTACTGTATATGTTGTTGAACAAATCTCGTTATTGAAGTTGTCTCATGTGTGTTGAATGTGGTCATCTTAAGTTTTTCGTTTTGAGGAATATTGTCTTGCTTGGATGGCTTCATGAATATTGCACTCGAACAGACTGAGGAATATTCGAATGGTCAATTGAAAAACAAGTATGGTGATGCGTTCATTCGCGGCAATAATGGTACTTGTCATTCATCACTTTCAGATTTATTTTTTAGTTGGTAGCATCAAAATTGACTGAAAGCAATGAGATGACGGAACGAACAATTTTTTAAAGCTTAATCTTCAACGATTGCGTTTGATTTCAGTCTTATACATCAGTACACAAAGACGGTGAAATCGAACGACGCTGATCGACGTCACGAATGTTGTCTCAATAATCTGAATTTCATTATTCACATTTAAATGTTCATTTGCTGATTCATATCAATTTTTGCTCTTCATTGTTCTAAACGACTGTTCTTGTTTCATTATGCGGGATAAACTTCCCTCTGTAATTGTACGCCCATTATTAATGTGTAGTCATTGCACAGAAACACCGGAAAATTGATCAGTTTTCCGATCGGATGCTAATGCCAATCGTTTGAATGTTTCAAACAAAGCTGAATCGAAATCATCTGACCTCATCCTTTAACAGTCAGTAATTAGTTTGGCGAACTTGAGCTTATAGTTGGGCTGACTCTGAGACTGAAAATGGCATGAAGAAACCTGCAACAGTTGTACTTAAGCGATCTTTTCTTTTAGAACTAATTACAAGGATTTCTGGTCGGAATTATGTTTTTTGTGGCTGATGACCGGTGCGAATCGAATATTGCTGAAAATCATAGAATTATTACTGAAACCTAAACGTGCGGAGTCCTCTCGAGACATTAATCTCATATTGCTACAGTTATTTATCAAGTGATCGGCAAATGAAGATAGAAGTCATTTTTTTGCCCATAGGTGCATAATGAAATCGTCTTTCTGTTATATATGGCATACCTTGAGAAAATCAAATATATTTCTCTACCTGAGTACTTCTAAACACCAAGGTAAACGTTGCTCGAATACGGCGTTTTTTATTAATGACTATTTTTGATCACGAGATGTTCTACAACCCCGGATATTAAATGTGAAATAAAACAAATGAATGCGTAGATCTTTCGCTGAGTAATGTACACATGAAAAACCCTTTGATTCAATAGCACAGAACCTTGTCTATCAGGCTGCACCAAGAACGAATGGGATCTTTCCATTTACTAACGTATATGCTAATGCCGAAAACAAGAAATCAAATCTATGTCTGGAGCAGTAACCATTGTGATAATTGGACCAACCCTATAGGTCTAGCACGTTTGTGACATCTAACCTGCCATTTTATAAATCCAGCAAGTGTGACTGTGCCTTGAAGACATTCGTTAATATTGCTTCAGATGAATTATACCTTCATCAAGTGCTACAGGAAAGCACTGTACGGGATCGTTCGCAGTCGTAACGTGAACAGTGATAAAATGAATCATTAAACGAAAGTGGAGACTGAGCATTCTTGATGCCATGAACAACACGAAGAGACTTAGGTCGTGGAAAACGGATTCTGCTATCCTAATGTTATAGTTGCTCAGTTGTGTTCCATCAGAATTTGATGAAATATTATAGTCTCTCTAAACAAAAATAAACAAGCAAGTTTCTTGATCAGGCCAACCTTCAAACCGTGATGGCCCACCGTTCAGAAACGAATAACTTCATTGTATTGTAGTGGATTTTGACCGAACGGAATTTCGCTCGGACCTCATCACCACTGCATAGGGTTTTCGCTTAATATGCTGCATACTATTTTGACGTTTCAGTTTATGACGTGTCACAGTTAGGGTTTGCAAAGTCCCGACGTTTTTTCAGTCCCGGGGTCGGAGTTTAATCCTGGGACCGATTTTTAATTCCGGGATTATCCCGGAATCGAACAATTTTTGAAATATCGATGCAGGACATGTTTAAACACATTTTCGAACCAATATGTTCATTATTAATCAGAAACGAGTTAATTCAACAAATTATTGAACAAATCCAAGAAACCAAATTATTTAAATTCAAATTAATATTTCATATAATGTTGCTAATGATCATGTCGTAAGGGCATACTGCATATTCTATGCTAAGGCATCTTGTCATCTCGGGTCTAAGCTAATAACAGTACACTTGCATGTGAATATGAAATTCTTGATTTGCAACCACTTATTTGCAATGCTTCAAGTCCATTTTCTCTCAGTATTAACGTCAGCTGAATTCTACCGTTTCGGAAATTTCGATTTTTTAGGGAAGAAATACACCGCATGAATTATATCATGAGTTTTGAAAAAATGAAAAGTTCAGAGTTTATCTAAAAAGTGAAAAAAAATCCGCAATGGATTTTCATCGAACCATCGAGCACTTACATATTTGATAATTTCGATCAGAAATCATGGAAATGTACTTGATAGTTAAGCTCAAGATCCTTTTGAATGGGACAATTTTGCTCACGTCGACAATGAATTCTCACTATGAGTGAACTCAGAAAGAATGTAAATTTCGATCGGATGAAAATGTTTTCAAATAGCGAAGTAAAAAGACTTGCAGTCTTTGGAACATGCAGTTGAATTAACAGATGGAATATTTAAGCCGATCAAATCGCGTGGGAGGAAACGACTCAAAATTTCGTTGAACTTTGTTGGTCTTGGTTCTTATTAGAAAACGTGATTATCTCTTTTAGTCTGCTTAGAAATGTATCCAGATGAGCGTGATATAAACCAAGGATAATCAGGTGAATATTCAATGAAATGTTACGTGAAAGTTCATCGAGCTGTCGTTATTCATGTCATTCGTCCGAATTGCGTCTATTTCCTTAGCTGAGCATCAATGATAGAGGGCAAACAGCAAAGATAACTGCATATAAATTAGATGGGAATGATTAAGGCTTGCTTCAAGATGGGCATACTATCAAAATTCACACAAACTGACATGTTTTATCAAATACCGAGATCCCGGGATTTTTCAAAACTCAAATCCCCGGATCAGGATCAGAACTGAAATCCCGGGATCCCAGGATCCCGTGCAAACCCTAGTCACAATGTCACAGAGTATGGAAAAGTCGCTAATCAAACCTGAGCTTGTGGCTGGTGCGAATATTTGGGATCTGAAAATTCACATGTAAATAGATTTGTACAGTTCACCTTCCTCAGATTAAGCGCACAGCATTCATACATGTTAATTCGTCAGCTAATGAAGATTCATTAAGGGAGAACAACCATTTATTAGGGATCAACGCATTGGTACTAATAATGTGTGTGTAAATTCTCACGGGTAGCAATGGTAACCAAATGAAAAAATTGGTTAGATCGGAATTCAACGAAATCCGCAATTCCGAACTACGATAATTACCAAAAAACTTTAAAAAATTGTCAAAATCGGGATTCGGTTCATTGTTATCAGTAATCATTCATCTTCTCATGCAAAAAATGCTAAAAGAATGGAATTGTCACTAAACAACAGTCTTACAATCACCAAAAAACAACATCGTTTAAAATCCCTTTATTTTTATTCAAAATATTTTGCACCCAACTCTTGTATGAGATGACGCCGTATTCGAACAACACTATTTTTTGCATAAGTGATATGTCGAAGCTCTAGGTTTGGTCCCACGAAATCGCATTAGACAGCCCATTAATTTTGTCCAGGTGTTCATTTGATCACTATTCTATCCAATGGACTGCTAATTTGTCAATATCCAGTTAGTCCAACTGTACCTCTTTTCGACTGTTCTTCCGTCACATTAGCTCAACTGTTGTTCTTATCAGTATGAATCGTTAGCATTCCATCAGACAAATCGTTTCTTTCACCAGAAGTTGAGCAGTTCAACTTGGTAAGTCATTTCATTGTGATTGTAATAAAAATGAAGTACAGTAAACGAACTCATGTCTATTTATTACACTTTTGGGTCCGAGGGGTCCACGACGTAGTATAACAATGATCAGTGTCAAGTCGAATCTTTTGTTCGAACCGCTTATTTATTGCTCGCCGTAGAATTGTTTTATTTACTTATTTGAGAGATCAGCGATGAAGAAGCGTATCACTGAACTTCAATGTTACCATATTGCACCTCGTCGTCTAAATAAAAAGCAAATTCAAGATCATGAAAGCTTAACAGATCTGCATCATTATCGTCATTACTATTTTATGCTTATTGTCCTAATCATTTATTGTCTATTCCTTTCCTCACTGTGCTTATTTTCCATGTTTGTGGAGGAAAAAAGGAAGAAAATTACAGAAATTCAATAATTTAATTTAAAAATTCAGAAATTTAATTGGATATGGTATCTGGAATTGTTTATTACGCTCGTAACGATTGTCGTTAAGTGAAAGGAGTCGTACAGTTATCAACATTTGAGCAATATGTAACAGAATTCGAAAAAAATGGACGCATTCCTATTCGGCTGGATAGGGGAGGAGTAGTTGGGCTACTTGGGGTGGACGTTGTTCGGGATCGAATATTATTTACTGTTGTTCATTGTCCATCTCATTGATGAGCGAGCGATAGCTGTTGATTCGGCGTGGGTAGTCTATCGCAACTAGTTTTGCTTACCCATACAAGTGAGTAGTGGGGGTAGTCAATCTTGAAAGTCAGAGAGAGGCTGCATATCAGTGTTGCTTGGAATAGGTGGCATTCAAACCATTCTCTGGATTTCCGTCGAAAGTGGATAATTGCAGTTTGGAGAAGAGAGGAGGAGGGGGAGATAGAACCTAGTAGTAATAATGAAGGCGTCGTTTTGGAGTGGGGACGATTGTAAGTACGGGTATATTGCTAGTAGTTGTGCAGGGCGGGGTTGATTTGGACTGTTGTGAGGTGAAGCGAAGTTGGTGCGAATGATGGTGTAAAATTGGGAATGCGTTAGCAGTTCACGATGATATTGCAACAGAGCTGCCAGTGGTTCAGGGCATGGTAGTTATCAACAGGAACAATGGTGATAGAAGTAATTAGTAACGTGTGACAGTAAGCGAGATAGAAATTCGGTATTCCGACCGAAATTAAAAATTATTGGTCGGGATCCGACCGAATCAATTTTTCAAAATTCCCATGTTCGATCATGAATTTCGGTCAGAATTCGGACAAAGAATTTCCGAATTTGTCGGGAATTTTAAGACAAAATTATATGCATTAAGGATTTGAGTATGTGAGTATATCTGAGTATTAAAGCGCAATTATACGCATAGATTAAAGAAAATATTTTTGCAATGAGTATATCATATTAGTATTCTCTCTGATCAAAGCCGCTTTTGTGTTTGCGTCTCACTCCTTAGTTGAACCTAGTGCCATGCACGTTGATCGCATTAAATTATTTCATGTGGGCCATGTTTTAAGCTGGAGAGCATTGTACTGAGACGTGCATGTCAACTAAAATGTTTCCATACTTTCTTATCTCTGGTACATTGCTTCTGTTTGAGGAATTTATTGCATTATTGTTTTAAAAATCTTGAACTTGATTCAAATCTTACCAGTTACATTTCAGTGAATTTATAAATGTATACGTACGTATATTAACTGTTTGATTATGAACGGATTGTAACAAAACTTGATAGTCTTGTCTTTCGACACATTCAATTAGTGATCACGGTGATCACATTCCAACATTTGTTTACGACTCATTTGTGCCCTTAATTTGATAACCTCCTTCAGTTCTTCATTCGTTTCTCTCTTTTTCGCTGCTATTCTTTGATGCAAAATATTTGTAGACCTATTGGGATAATTCATCAGGGGTGAAACTGTGTACAAAATTCTGAGATTCATACATCATTCGGACGCATTCGAGGAGCTGAGTTTAACACGTTGAAAAACGATTTATAATGTGTCTTAATTCATGAAGCATGTTGAGGGCCAGTGAGCAGTCCCTAGTACTGATGGGAACTGAACGAAAAAAAACTGGTACAGTCAGAATCGGTTCGAATCCATTTTCGCAAATATGAATTTCAAGAGTTGCCGAAAAAACAAAAACTGAGGATTTGATCAGTTGCCGTCATTTTACCTAATACTTACTGTTAGTTTATTATCGGTTTGTTGCACGATCTTACAGTTTTGTTTATTACGCAAAAATTTGTTCATTACAGTAAATTCCTTCATTCGGTTGGATATTTGATAACTCATTTGTAATTCACTTTATGTCAACGTGTTTCGTCGCAGGGAACATTTCGTGCGTAAAATCAATCTCATTTCCGGAAGCCATGCAAAATCTAAGCGAGAAACTGGCGTTGTCCAAACTTCCGATGAACATAATTGTTGCAATCGATTCGCGACGTGGAATCGGTAAGAACGGCGATCTTCCATGGCATATTCCTGAAGATCTTGAGTACTTTTATACAAAAACCTTGGAAACTGCCGATCCTACAAAGAGAAACGCTGTCTTGATGGGTCGTAAAGTTTGGGAAAGTCTTCCGGCTGAATGGTGTCCACTCAAAGATCGTGTAAATGTCGTTCTCAGCAGCACAGTGAGCTTTCATCGCGTATTTTATTTGTGATTATATCTTTTTGATAACTACGTATTCCGTTTGAAAATAGAATTACTCCTTAATACCTTCCAGTTGCTATTCTCATAAGATTATTCATCAGATGATGTACTTTTCTGATCATAAATGTGTCTGAATCGTGTATCGAAAATCAGTCACAAATGAATTGAGCCAAACAACATTCATAAGTCATATTCTTTTCTTGCAGATGAAACAACCCGTCGATAGGAGTTGCGTCGTTGCTCGTAGTTTTGATGATGCTCTAAGTATATTGAACAGATTGGGAGACAGCATCGAAACTATTTGGAATATTGGAGGAAATCAGCCGTATCAAGAGGCTCTCAACTCAGATCAGTTATGTAAGGTCAGTCTATAAAATTACAGTTAGCTTATTCACTGAGTACACCAGTTCTTATGTAAATGCCAACTTTTAACCACGTCATATAAGTATAACATTCAATCATCGTTTCACCAACATATTTATATCATATTCTACATTAATTTTGTGAGGTTATGAAATTTCAGCTTTATGTGACGTTTATTGAAGGCGATTTTGATGCGGATACTTTCTTTCCTGATGTCGACTTCGAGAAATTCCAGAGAAATGACAATTCAACCACTGGAAAGGAGCACACCTACGATGGTACCAAATATCGTTTCGAGGTGTTCTCCGTGTTACGTCAATGAAACTATTAAATCTACTAAAATTAATATGCACACATTTCATTTGATAAGAACTCATAACTGTTCTTTTGAACAGTTTATTATCAATCAAAATATTATATAAAACGATTCATTTGGATTTTTCTAAACACCTGTCGTAAATCCGATAATTAGTTCGGGTAATCGGGTGCTGAATGCTGAAAGATAAATTTGGTAGACTACCGAGCGTTGACACAGTGAATAGTCTTTAAAATGTGCCTGTTTCAGTCGTCTAAGTTTCAGCCCCACCCGTTAGAAATAAGCCGCATTTATGTTCAAAATTACCATTGAGCTAGTCTTATGTTCAAATTTGTTTTAACGCGGATGAGGATTAAATCGAGGCGTCTAGTTTAACAGGTTACTGAATGGCTATAGAGCATATCGGGGACTTCCCACGCTGAACTGTAAAACTCAATTTCAGCCGTTATCAGTACAACGAAATTTTGGATGATTCTTTTGACTGATAGCCAAACATTTCAGTATACCACCAACTGTCAATTTTTTAGACAGTCGTATGCATTCAATAGTCTGCTGGGAATAAATCTGAAAAGTGAATCATACTATGTTAAATAAAAAATTTTTTAGAAGCACCTAAGTGAGTATCTAAACTGGCTATCCAAAATTTTTATACCCAAAATCAACATGCGAACTTATGTGCTGTTAATGTGCCATGTTGATTCGATAACTCAATCACAGTTCATATGCAATGAACGGTAAATTCTTCTGTATAACGTGATAGTGTATAAAAATCGATGTTATATTCATCATGTCGCAAGTCGGTGGCTGTGTCAGAAGGATCAGTTCATCCCCAATAAATAAGTTCATGCCGTCCAGTCCGGGATTGGCCGAAGGTGATCTTGCCACAATACATCCATGCACTACATGAGTATGCACTACCTCCGTTTAGAAATGCAGTGAGGGTCCTTACGGTTTTGTAATTATTTTTGATAATATCCAAGTGTTGTTACATCACATCCTCATCATCTCTTTCATTCACAAATCATTCGAATTTTGCAATCTTCAAAACACATTTGGGTGTAATAAATTGCCGTCTTTTTGCGGTGCATGCTGACGAATTGAATCATATATTATATTTTAATGAATTGTTCTGCTGACAGCGACCAGCCATCATTCAAATTGCATTTAACTGTACGGTTGGGAACCGAAAGATTTTTTTCGACGGCCTCCGACCGAACACCCTATCGGCATTCACCGAAATTCGGCGGCAACTGACGAGGCAAATTTTGAACATCGGTCGGTTTCGGTCGATGGTGACCGAAGTTCGTTAGCCTCGATTTTAATGGCAGCAAATGGTTTGGTGGGAACTTCTTTTGTCAGGTCCATTCAAGGAAGAACAAGTTGCTACCTACCTGTACATCATTCTTGATGTATCTTTGTTTTAAAAATTGACATACCCGACCATGACCTTGGAGGTGCAGACGCGAAAGGAATTTCGTATCATTCCGATGGTAACCTAATTGCTCTCCTTCAGAGTAGACTAAAACAACGAACAGATGCAGTCATTTGTTTCTCAACCTAATAGCATGAGCATCACTGCTAATCAACTGATAAGCAAATCTAAAGTGTCGCTTGCCTGTGTGGGTCACATGCAGTGTGTTGTGGGGAAGAAAAAAATCCTGGAGTGAAATTCTGCAGTCGGTGACCCCGAAAATGCGGCCCCGAAATTCGGGAACGTCGTCTCCAAAATTCTGCGTTCCTCGCAACACACTGGTCAGATATATAAGCGATGGAGGATTCTCCTTCAGGACATAATTGAGGCGTCTCAAAGGTAGCAATTCCAAGGACGGCTTACTATGGTTAATGTTTTCACGGGTTCCCGAGAATCCCGAATCTCGGCCTCTGAATCCCGTCTTCGATCCCGGGATTGGTGTTTCCGGGATTCACGGGATTCATAACACAGGTCATTTTATATCAATTTGGTAGCATATGAAGCATAAATCATTCCCAGCTCATTCAAAAAACTCATCTTTGCCGTTTACCATCCACATGGTAATATAATAAAAAGATGATTCATGACAAATCTCCACGCTAGATCCCTCCACTGATGCCATGGAGAACTCTAGCGTGGAGATTTGGTTTTCACGCTCAGGTGCTCCATTCACCATTTTGATGATCTGACACGTCGTCATTACCCCCTCCTACTTCCTGATACAAAAACTTGCAATTTCTACATATAACATCGGGAACAAAAGGAAAACCGGACCAAAAATTCCTCAGTGGCGTGAAAGAAATTAGTTTTCTGGAATGAAACAAGTATTTTCAGAACTTTATTTATTTGAAATTCCAATTCTACTTTTCAAACATTTCAGTCATTAACATCATAAGAAATGTTGTCATTCATCAGGAAGAAGTATTATATCGGTTAAAAAACATTCATAAAAGAAAGTACAAGAAATGGAAATTGTAAAAATTGAAAAAAGAAATCGATATCATCAAATTCAGAAATACTCGATCGTCATACACCAAATCAATGATCTTTTTTGTTGTACTAAAGTGCTCACTCCACTTACTGCTCATGAGGAACGATGTCATCTAATATACTTAAGCACTTACGAGATATTTGTGACTTCTTTAAAATAACTTTTGTTCAGCCCTAAACAAACTAAAGATACTCAGAATATAAGATAAAGACGAGTGTTTGCATGAGCGAGCCGCGTTTAGATATCCAAGTGAAAAATACACCATCACAATGGCGTTTTATCATAACAAAACAACACCAAATATTAGTTTCTCTCAATAAATCCCCGATGTTAATGAGGGACGATGTCAGCCAATATATTGAAGAACTTACGAAACATCTGGGATTGAACAGACTGTTTTTAGGCCCGGATGAGCTAATGATACTCAGAAAATAGGAGAAAGAAGACTGCTGCCGTGAACTAATCGTATTCACATACCCAAGTGAAAGAACACCATCATAATGGCGTTCTATCAGCACGAAATACTAATTTCCCGACCCCCTCCATTACTCCCCACAAGACCACTAAATTACCCAAAATGGGTAATTTCACCCCTATGAAAACCACTGAATATAAGTATCGCTGATGATCTCTTGCGTGCACTTCTGGTGAGGACTGACGAGTGCGGAATACCAACTTTAATGCATTTGATGAGATATATGAACGGTCCTGATTACATTCGGAAGGGAACAGACTATATGGGGTATAAGATCGTGGAAGAAATTATTGTGGTAATAAGTGAATTTTTCTTCGAGATTTTTCGGTGTGAATAGTAAAAATGATAATAAGCCAAAGTCGAACTCATCGATGGCAACTGATTCATTCAAAGACATTTCTCAAAGAATATAGAATTGATAATGAATTGCATAATTTGTGAAGAAGTAATGGCAAAGTAATCTCTGAATTGCATTTGTTCCTTGTGACGAAAGAAAAGCCGGCAAATATTGTATAGCTCGATTAACACGATGCCAGCGACAAGTATCGAAAGTGAGCAAGCCTTCTCCGCATTTGTACAAAACTGAGGAATCGGATGAGTGATGCAACAATCAACGCTCTAACCTTTCTGAAATTTTATTTCAAGTCACTGAATTTTGTTTTTTGAATTTGTTGCTGTTGTATCAGTCCTATTTTTTTCGTTACAAAGATTACATTATCCATTTCATTACGATTTTGTTTCAGTTATTTTGTTTTGTTGAATTTGTTGAGTTTTGTCGAGTGATTTGTTGAATAAACTGTTTTCTGATGAATTATGAACACATTGTTTCGAAAACAATGCGTTGAACATGTCACACTTCTATAATTCAAAAATTGCTTTTCAATCCCGGAATCTTCCCAGGATTGAAAAACGATCTTGGGATCAAATCCCGGTCCCGGGATTGAGAAAATGGCCGGGATTTTGCACACTCTATCTTTGGTTCGAAATTTGAAAGTTTCGAGGAAAATTTGGCACTGTTGCTGTTTTGCTCCCAAAACGTTAACAGCGAGCAAAAATTTTTCTAAGTCCAAGATCTCTCATATGAATGCCACTGTCTGCGTCCATTGATTACATCGCATCACTGTTTTGTTGTATTTCGTCTCGCCCTCTCTCTCATTTGTGTCGTACTACAATTTCATTTCGCGTCTACTCAGCTGCATTATTTCTCCTGGTGAATGCATTGAGGAGAACATTATGACACGAGTTTTGGTTTATGATTTTTGGTGGCCCTAAAGAGGGCCGTTTGGTTTAAGATCCGCTGTTCCTGCCCCATTTCATATGGGGTACATTTTTCCCGCGAATCAGGCTTCATATTTTCTCCGATTAAAAAAAAAATTACACCCTTTGGAACCATTCTCTGTCATTATCGTACAAATGATTTACGTTGTAAAATATTTGTTTGCATTTACTTTTCAAACTTTTTTGCCGCGTATATTTGTAGTTATTTTGATGATCAACCAATTTATATTTGCTTTAATAAAGTTTATAAAGTTTAATCTTTCACATAAAATTTCGATTCGTAAAAACATCAATTTTATCGAATGTGCAAATAAACAAGTAAATACTTCAAATGCATTCAAGATTCCTTTTCAAGTTTGCTTCCTAGAAGAAACTGTTTGCACTGTTACGTTTTTTGTATAGTTATTTGGCACTGATCCGCTAACAAAATAGCAGCGCATCGAAAGAATCGTAATATGTAACACACGTGCACATATGCTTCTGTACACAAATACATAACTAGAGCGTTTTATTTATATGACAACCATATAAGTTAATATTGATGTTAAATTCGTTATCATTATTATTATCGTTATTATTACAACGAGGCAATTAAAGTCAATCTTCTGATAGCAATACGAATAAGAGCAACAATGCTACCGCTGAAGTAAGTTTGTTGCAACGATTTAGTATACTTGAATTCACTTTTAAAAAAACATGTTATTTACATTAAACATTGTAATAGTGATGACAATAACGATGATAATAATAGTGTATCAAACAAAACTAGTCAACATATGTGAGCACCTAATATAGCTGGCACGCTGCTAAGCAGTGCGTCAACGACTGAAATCACTGCACGAATGAGCATGCACAATAAAGCAAGCATACATTTTTCATAAGGATATGACATCTATACAATGAGTCATTTTATTCCATGGCGAATGATGAACAGTCGATCATCTATCTAACGACAAACAATGTATGCCGTAATCAACACAGAATATACTGTTTGTTCCTCAGTGGATTTGTACACAAAATAAGACGTTTGAATACTCAATCGCTCCATTAAAGTTATGGTTAAAGCGTCATGAAACTAGGCAATTTTGAGGTCAATTTAAAAATAAATTCGGCAATTACTCTCTTGAACATTAATGTTGCTTTCGATTCCTGGTTTAATGAAATAATATATCGTTATATTCAAGCATCAACTGTAAGCTTTTGATGAACCTTTCATTTCACTCACGCACGAATGCTGATGTTTAGAAATTTGTTAGCTGCATTAGAGGGACTCAATGTATGTGATGAAGAAGTAATAGCTGAATGAAGAAGCACTGATGCGAGGAGATAATGAATATTAAGATATAGCTCAGAAAAGTACGACAACAAAACAGAAACAACACAAAAAACAAACAAGGAGGCAGTTAGGAGGGATGTGTCTTTCAAGTTTGACAACTGGATGCAACGTGCACGGTCAATTAACAGATCAATTACCACTCTTCATTCATGCATAACTATGCAGAAGGTGATATGAACGTAAGAAACAGCACTGATAATCATTACAAACTCTCACGTTCAAGAGAATAATTAACTGAATTTCTTTTACGACATTCACAATAATTGAACAATTTTGCATACGAACCCTACGCGCAAAAAGACGCGTATGAGGCTGTTGAATCAATACATAAAGTCGTCAAAATCTGTCCGGAGGAACCGTTTTTAAACCTATCTTCTGCAATAATTCCTAAATTCACGTGAAATGAGCGAGTGAACAAGTGAAATTTTTTCTCATAGAAATGCATTAGGAGGGAAGCGATTATCAGATGAAATTTGTTATATACGTAAATTTGTTACATACGTAGTTTCTGTTTAATGATCTGCATTTAAGAACCATTAACGTGCTGAAAAAAAGATAAATGAAATAAACAACAACAAAATGAAATACATATTATAAATAAACGATGAATATA